TTACTCAGTCGAATATAGCTAACTCGACAATGTATTTTTTAGTCGATTAATCATCAAGTGGATCTTTATCATCGCATTGGTGAGTATCGAGGGGACACGGTGCGGTGTTGGACTTTTTTTTTACTTGTAATTCATTTACATTCATATAGGTTCTCGTACACGGATTAGTATCATGTAACTGTGAATAAAAAATGAAGATGTACAGATATAGAAGAAATTATGATTGTAATATTTATTACAATATTATAAATATAAAATGTCGTTTACTATTGGTTCACATGAAATTCGATTTCATTCCTGACAAATTTTGTAAATTATGAACCAAAACAATTATAATCAAATGCGGATTTTGTTTCTTACATAAAAAAACGTACCAGAAAAACATCTATCCGAGAATTCCGAAGTACATTGTTAACTTTAACTCAAAGGCATTGTTAACTTTTATTTATCAACTACTTTGTTTTTTAAACCTTTTAAATGCCTACATAAGAAAACTTTAAAGAAAATACGGTTTCTTAACTAATTTATTTTTTTTACTGTGCACATAGATATTTATATACATAAGTAATAATTAAACAGGTATAGTATATAACATTTTAATCTATTACTCTAATTATGTATAAGTTTCATTAGATATACAAACAAATATTTTAACACTCAAACACGATTTAAACGTAGGAAATATTCTAATCTATTTTGATCTTTATAATAAGTCACAATTTAAGAATTGATGAATATTTATAAGGCGATATAATGATTCTCAGAAATATAAAAAAAAGTTATTGGTCACATTCATATTCTATAAATCCAACACTAGCTATGAATGTGGGCATTTTATTTTATTACAAATGCCTTGCTACCAAAAAACATCATGCTCGCTGACAGTTCCAGTGATTGGGGATTTGTTTGATACCTATGATCATTCTAAGAATATTATTTAGGTACTCGTAGCTATACAGCGACGTTTAGAGGACATAAATGTCTGTAACATTAATAAATAGTCCGGGTTACACTTGGAAATAAGTAAGTAAGCCTACTTATACGGATTAGTATGTAGGTAGTCGTTAAAGTTTAGAAATTACTGGATATCAACGGACTATATGATTTATTAGAGTATAAAATATAAATACCCAGCTTCTGCTATAAATACCTAATGTATCGAATCATTATTATGTAAATTATAAATAATTTAAACGAGATACCTAATATAGTAGGCTTATAGGCGTAGGTAGGCCCATATTCATAGGTAAATCCAACGAAATATGTGCCCTGGGAGTCCTGCGTTTGTTATGACTTCGATAATTGACATGCCTCTGCTCTGAGTACCTTATGCGAGATAACAGTTGTGGCTGTATGGTATTTATTTCCACTAAACTCTAAAAATATATTTTATACAATACATTGTTAAAATAAAAATAATAAATTGATGTAGCTACTTCCCCAAAAAAAGAGTAATAAACCTTTACAAACGCTTTCTATACCCAACCAATTGTCCACTTTCTACAATATATTATAGCTACTTATTAACAATCTTATAACTACGGTAAGATACAAACAGGAAATAAAAAACGTGAGAATAATATAAATTAAGAGTGGTCCCACCCCCACCTACCATACGAGTCGATAATTGAGACGTCAATTTTTTCCATCTTAACTCGTCGGAGCAGCTTTTTGAATATTTATTATGTGGGCGCGCTGTAATTTAGGTTTACTTCTCGTTATCTCATAGTTTTTATCTCCACTCTGTCCGTTTCGTCTCGTAACGATTAATGTGGATTCCATCATGTTCTATTAGAAAAAAGGATAAGTGTGAGTAGAACGCGCTCCCAATCGACAGTTGTATAAGAAGTATAAGGGTACTATATGTAATATTATGTTATCTGTGGTACTAGTAACTATGTATAACCAGTATACTCATACATAGACGATTAGAATTTTAATAATAGATAGGTATGAAAACTTTCAGAATCCAATTTAATATGAACTATTTTTAAGTTTGTAGTGTTTGTCGTTTTGAAAACTACTTAAAAAATAAATAACATATTATTATACTGTAGTTAGATAGGTCCCCGTGTAGGTCATATATTATTTTAGTTTATTTAGTTAGTAAATAATTTCTTTCTGTATTTAATAATTATGTGTCGATTAATGCAACAATGATGCAATATAGTGTAATATTTATCATACTCACATAAAAATAATATCTTTTATCAGAAACTAAACTTACATAGAATATTTACCTTAATCCTGTTTCACGTAACACGTAACCCAACTCAGGTAAATCGTCCGAACAATCAGGCTCTTGATTTTTTCCATCTCAATCTGTCATTCAGCCATTCCCTGATAAAGCGGTGAATAGATGACATTTACTATTAGAAAAAGCCTTTATTTAAAATTCAATAAAAGCGTAAGAGCTTGCAACGATGCTTTGTTGGTTTTTTGTCGTCTGGCATACACTTGCTCTTTTATAGTAGCATCAAAGTCTCTTTGTGTTTTAAATCACCCGTAAAATTATTGAAGTCCCATGTGTGAGTAGATGATATCTGTGAACGTCGTTATAATATTAATATTAAGTATAATGTTGATAAACAAACAGCAAACAGTACTTCTGTCCGATTGTCTACTCCTGAAATACTGGTGCACTGGCACAGCAGTGCACTGAGCACTGCTGTGCCAGTGCACCTGGACGTGGACATAGATATACGAATTGAAATAAGAAAGATATATGTTGTAATTTACTAACATCGGTTATAAGTTGTTTACTAATATAATATGGATGGACATCCAGAATAAATGAATATAAAGTATACTTACCTAAATTATTAGAAGTAGAACTATTCAAATAATCTAATATTGTAATTGGAATGGAAAATATGTTGAAGCCACATTTTATAATAAGTGGTAACCGTCGTCTATATACATATGGACAACACTATTGAGATCACGTTATTCATTCACACATTCCCGAGGACGAAGATATCAAGTATTTAATATAATTTCACTGCATTAATCCCCTCCGATCGATCCTCCGTCCAATTCAAACGGGGATCGATATCATGACGGCTTGAGCCGAGGTTCGAACCCCTAGTGGTGCCCTCAGACTAAAGTCGTATCCGTCAGGAGTTGGCCTTCAGCCGCTCCACAAGTCCTTCCGCGGGTTTAGAGTGCCATCTGCACTCGCCCCCTAACGTCCGGTGAAGCTGTAAAGGCCAGCTGCGGCCAACAGCATTAGAGTAGTCCGAAATAAAAAACCGCATTAACTTACGCCAATCGAAAAGAGTGGTACCAACACAGAGGACTTTGTACTCCTGGAAACAATTTTATTTTGTGTACCTTTATTAACCTGTACTAATATTACAAATTTAATTATTTGTATATTTATTTATGAATAAATATTAACAGATTTTTTTAATTCTGTCCCTTATTAAAACTGTATTATCAACGAGTTGACTGTATTTCTTTTGTTTGAGGGTTGAGACAAGGCAGTCAAATTACAGGATATAAAAAGCATGACAGCCTAATCCTCCGGAAGGGCATGAGCGGTATCGCAGGCGTCACGTGATAACATGACACCGTAGTGCTGTTCAATTTTAGAGGCGACGATTACCCCTTATCGTACTGAGTCTTCAGATTGTTTGCCATTCCACTTACATATAAAAAAATAACATAAGTAAAACCGCATGATACCGCTAGTTAGTTATATTTCTCACAAAATAAACAGATAAGTAAAATGACAAAATATCAATGATATAACTGTTGTAGTTTTATTTTTATATTTATGTTGGTGAATAGATATAAGAAAAAATCCATAAGAACGGAGATTTATTTGAAGGATTGTCAAGAAGTGAAATATAAATGAAATTGTACAAGAACAGAACTACAAATTTAGAATACCTATATTATATATGATATTTCAGATTTCAATTACAACAATAAAAATAATAAAGGTATTAATTATAATTAAATGAGAATGTGTGTCCGTCAGTTACCTTTCAGGGCTAAACGGCTTGAATTTTAAGACGTGAGATAATTTATAGCTAGAGAACGAACATACAGGATGTTTTTTTTTCTCAAGAAAATCAGACGAAGGCACAGGTAACAGCTACTATTTACGCTAATCTAATATATGATAGCAGAGAATAATTATTGTATTAAATATAACTACATATAGGTAATGATGTTGTAGGTGTACCTACAGTACAATATATAAGTTGTTCCTAGTATGTTAATCATATAGCCGTATAATTTTCTGTAATACAAAAATCTAGTTCCTCGCGCTAAAACTCACACACCCGGCTTTACCCTCTCGAATATATTTCTGTTTTGTAGTCACATAGGTACTACACTACCGTGTTTTTTTTATGAATCGGAATGGCAAACAAGGTTACGGCCCACATAGCATCGTGGTATTCCTCGTACGTTGCCATTGTGGTAGAGTTAGATGTCATACCTCCATGCCGTGCAATATTACTGACGATCAATAATCTATCAGAATTAGAACGCTTAGGTATATCAGAGTTATGCTAAGGAGCGTAGATTTATAATTCATATTATTATTATTATAATGAATTTACATAGCACATAAACAGTATATTCTTAATTTGTAATGGTAATTCATTATTATTTTTATTTTCTATTCTACTAAATTTTTCAAAATGATCTTACAATGTTTTGTTCCATTGAAATTATATAACATCTATTGGTGATATTGTAAGAACTATGTTTGCAATCGATGTTCAGATTGGCTGGTATAATGACGAATTATGTTTGAATTTTCGAAAACCACTTCTGTACTTTACTTGTATACTACTGTTACATTGCTAACAAGTTCCGAGGTAACTTTCATAACAAATATAATAGTAAAAGCGCCCTCTATTGTAATATTATTATATTATTTCATACTACCTTGAGAGCACTACCTAATGAATGACATAAAAACATGACACGACGACAGTTTTGATTGATAGAATGACGTTTGCATCTTGACAGATTTAATTTTAGTTTTATTTATCTCGACTATCTTTATCGAGTTTATTCAGGACATTGAATATAGATTTATTGCCAAGGTCCTGTTTTTAATTGTATCAGAAATAGTAATAGTGATCACAAATACACTATATATTGTTGTAATGAAACATCTGCTTTTGTTATGACCAGTGTATTTGACATTTGGTGAGTGTTGTGGCCAAATCCATGGTCGTGTTATATACTTTTACTCGTTGACCCATCATTAATTTGATAATAAGTTCATTTCTGCTTTATTTTACAGTGTATATTTTTAATATTTTGGTTTTCATAGGTAACATTTTTATAATTATATTTATCTATCTGTTGATCCTAATTATATCTAAAACGGAATTGTTTCTCAAACATAACGTAAATTAATTAATTATCTATGTATTTACGCATAGTTCTAGTTTGACTTCATTATAATATTACCAAATTGATATGTATTTTGTGTTTGACATATATTTGGGTGTACAGTTCTGAGGTTACACTTAATAACAAACTTTCTCTTTCAGATCAGACAATTGAAATGATTGTATAGTTTAAGTGTGAGTGTATCACATATACTGTTTGAGTAATGAGTGGAGGTGGCCCACAGATTATGAATAATTTGCCACCAGGAGTTAACCCTGAGAACAACTTGCTGCCTGGAGGGCCAGTCATCAATCCAACAATGAATAGAAATAGAAACAATAATCAGAATCCACTGCTAAATGTACGGGAAAGGTTATTTCATGCACTATTTTTCAAATTTGCTGTAGCCTATGCCCGTACATTTCCCCGACCAGTGAGAAGATTTTTTGAGTTCCTTGTTCTTTTAAAAGCCTTAGTTGCGTTTTTTGTGCTTGCATATATACATATAACATTTTCAAGAACACCAACAACATGTTTAAATCATGTGAAGGATTCATGGCCCAGAGATGGTATTCTAAGAGTGGAGATATTAAAAAATCCATCTCAAGATTATACTATAGAAGAAAGTTATGCTAAGGAGCGTAGATTAAAACCAGCTAAAGACGATCTTCATTCCATATTAGGAATGTTGCCTAACACTGATGGGTGAGTTTATTTTACAATCTTATTTTATTGAAAATTTTATGTATATGACTATGTATAGTCAATTTGCACTGATAATTCAGTTCAGAGCTTAGATACTAGATAAGATATTTTATATTAGCTCTGGTGTTACAGGTGTCTATTCAAAATAACAGTAAAAAAAAATATGGTTAGAAACTTTGTATTTCTCACCATGGTCATAAATGTAGATAATATTCCACATTTATAAAAAAAAAACTGGTGTTTTGTAATCAACAATAAATGTATTTTATTTATGATATTCTATTACCAGATTAAGATGAATATTTTAATTTAAAAATTTATTTCGTAAAATTTCAAGGAAGCAACTCTTTTTATTTATAAGTGTTTTGATCAGTATGATATACAATCTAATAGCTTTTACTATAAAATATACAGACATTAGTAATAAGCAAATAAACAATTTATGTGCATATAGTTATAATAATAATGTATTGTGTATTTGATTACACTATATTTATGTACTACTTGCTGTGCCTGTGACTTTGTACCATAAAAAAACAGAAATATCTTTTTTAAATAAATTCAGTAATAATTTGGTTAAGCTATTTCTTAGATTAGTTCTAGATTATTCATTGTTTTGGGTTCTAATACAGTATTAAAGTCAAGAAGCTTTTCTCCTATATTTTTCATATTCAGACAACAATTAGCTACTTTTAATTATACATATGCAGATTTAAATGCCATAGAATTTATATATGTTTCCTTAATTATAGATTTGTTAATATTGAATCCTCCACCAGTGATAATATGGATGATGATGAATATCTACAAGATGGCACTGATTATGGGAACATCACACGGGTCCATGATGATACTCAGATTGAATCTGACACTGGTCATGTAATGGAGACAGCTTATGTAAATACAAGTCCAGAACTAGTTCCAAGTGAGGAAGCAACTGATCTCAATGTCACAATAATACCTAGTGAAGATATGGATAGATCTTCTTCACTATGGGAAGGAATTATGGGACTCATTGATAAATTTGAGAAGAATGCTAATTTCTTGGATGTGAGTATTTTTAATCTGATTACTGTAATTAATAATGGTGTCAGTGCTATTTTATATGTATATTATATGTATCTATTACAAAAAAATGTTTGTATATAAACATTAGTAACAAATTGTATAAGCTGTGCTTAGTTTAATACTAGATGATGCTGCATGAATAGTTAAAGATTAATAATGTATTACATGAATTATTTGAAATTGAATGAAGGTGCATGAGGTAGTCCATGTAGAATAATAGAGTTTCATACACCATAATTATGGCATATATTAAATAATATACTAAATAATAAACTTATGTATCCTAGCTGCTTATCAGTTTTTTGCATATTAAAAAAATAAGGATAAGGTAATTACACACTGACTGCCCTAATGCTATATGGTAGTTGGGCACCAATAGTGGATGATAGAGTGAATAGAAAGTCAGTAGTTCCCATTGAGATAAATTCACTAAATCAAATTAATAAGTATGGCTTCCAGAGGGCTGTGTGGAGGTCTATGTAACATGGTAATGGCTATTAATGGGAGCCTTATTACAGTAGCCTGCTTAAACTTAAAAGATTCTTGTATTTTTTAGATTAAAACATGCTACTGCAGTTATTTATCAATCTTGTGTTTATTTGCAATGCCCTTGTCTTGGAATTGTATTGTAAGCATTCCTCGTCTGGTAAACAACAGTTCCACCTCTGTCTACTTCCTGCAATATTTCACATGTCATCGCATGTACCATTAACGCAGTATATTTGCGTATGGGGTCGTAACTGCGCACCTCTGACTCCGCTGTTATCAGTATAATATATACAGAGTTAAAAATGTTTATATAACTTATATTATTGTTATTTTTGCTTCAGGATCGGTTTGAGGAAGTAGCAGCAAATGATTCTTCGAAAGGTGAGTTGAACAAAGTTATAACATACTAGAGACACACCCCGACTTTGCATGGATATTTCAATTCATTTACACAACACCATAATGAATTAAGACACTTAAATTTTCCTTGAAAATGTGTTGATGGGTGAGAAATAACATGAAAATCTCTTAAATATTTTATTTTTGAATGTGTAAGATTTTTCTGTACTCCTTTAAACAGTTTAAGTGTTTAAAAGAAATATCTTTTAACACATGTTGAACAATAATACTACACTACATAATTAAATTTTTAAATTAATTACACTGCACATATTAAAAAAAAATGGTGTCAGTTGATTTTCTTGCCTTCTTCACTCAAGTAGGTAAATCTACCGAAGTGGACTGTAGGGATAGTGATAAAAAACTGTGACATGGTCTTATTTGATTTCATTTTATTTGATTTGCAAAACTTAAGTTTAAAAGACTTCTATTGTTATATTTTCAGATGAAGATTATATCCTTGAGTACTCCTTGGAATATGGTTTCCTACGATTATCACCAAACGCTCGACTCAAACTTAAGATACCCGTTAAGATTGTCACATTGGATCCCCAACAGGATGAGTGCTTCGGTGATCCATTTTCTCGTTTCGTGCTAGACGAATTTTTGGGATATGATGACCTTCTTATGGCTTCCATAAAAGGTCTCGCAGAACAAGAAGATAACAAAGGTTATTTGAGGTAAGGGATATAAATATATATATTGGATATTAACGAAATATAAATACTCTTCATTCACATAAACATAATATAAGCTCTTTCTAATAGTATTGTTTATTCTGCTACTTATTTGGAAAGCAGACTCATCACAGCACATCACATTTTAAATAAATATTGTTCAGCATTACATTTAAATCTAAAGATTTTGTGTGAATTCAAACTGCCAAATATTTATTAATATAACGTAAATATAACAAAATAAATCAGTCAAAGTTATCAGAGCTGACCAGTAACACTCGTCCAACCAAATAGCACAGTTTGGTTGGACGAGTGTTAAGGGTATAAAGGGTGAGCCAGCCATCATTGCTCTCAACCATATTTTAGGAGACATTACGACGACTGACTGTATACTTCGGATCTGCTTTATGGAATACAGCGTTTGGAACTGGCTAATAATGTTAAACTCGTATTTATTATCCCTTACAAAGAAACATACAAAATTTCAAATGTTCCCTGTTTATGTTGTTATAATGATAAAAGAAGATATACACCAAATTTATGATTTTATATAATTTAAATGGCGTACAAATTAGTCGTCTATAAACATGAATAGCATCACGAATATCATGTTATCATTTTACGTTCCTCATGAACTGCCATTCTTGAGAACTAAAGTGGCATAGCTCCGTGGTTTGTAATTTCACTGCCCTATGGCTCTATAACTGAATATAGCAGAGTAAGTAAGCAATTTGGTGACTGAAATATGTAGGTCTGATAGAGCTATGGAAATTTACAAAGTCTATTTACATGCCTTTAAGAAAAGAGCTTATATCTTCTTAAAAGGCCGGCATCGCATTTGCAATTCTCCTGGTATTGTGGGTATTCATGGGCGGCGGTAATTATGTAATATCAGGTGAGCCCCAAACTAGTTTGTCCCATATACCATAAAAAAATTACTACAACGTTTATATTCTCAATCCATTTTGACTTTTAGTAGAATAAAATATCTTGTGAAGTATTAATTAATCGCATATTGTTACAGGAATGTCATCACTGGTGAACATTATCGCTTTGTATCGATGCTCACTGCACGCAGCTCCTACATAGCAGCTTTCTTCATCATGCTGGTTTTTGTAAGTATACATTCATTATTTATACAGCCAAGTGGACTGGTTAATAATAATACCGCTGAACAAGTCACACAGCGCCATCTAGTCCCAAGCTAAGCAGAACTTGTGTTATAGGTACTAGATATCTGATAGACAGTATTGGTCTGGGTGTTTTCTTTCACATCATATTCGTGACGTATTGTGTGATGAATCGGACCCGCGACCATCGGAAATAAAGAGGTGTACAAAACCGCTATACAACCGAGGCGACCAAAGAGTTCATAAACACTAATAGTTAATTATAATTTATTATAATAATTATAATATATGACGACATAACAAATACGACATGACAAATCTTAGCATTTAGCTAAGATTTGTCATGTCGTTCATCGTGACGTAACATCTTTGAAAATATATAATGTATATAACCAAACTTATACTGTAAAAAACCATTTGCTTCGGTCTCAACTATTTCAACAGCTAAATATAAACGTGGGTCTTCAACTAGTTTTCCATTCTAACTACATATAAAGAACATGCCCCTCCAGAAACCGCGTGTGGCGATATAAATTCGGATACTTAATATAGTATGATTAAAATATGCTAAGGAATGTCCGTCCGCCTTATGAATATAGCAGCTAATTAAGGCGAGCAAAACAAACAAAAATATATAATCTGTACCTCTAGGGCCATTGCCCTAATTGCAGATAATTAAACCTGTACTGTGATAATTATGTAGCTGTACTTGTAATTATAGGGAGTACAATTGATAACAAAAATATCATATATTGGGTTTATGACCTGCTTTATCTTAGGTTTGCCTTTTTTCACGTTCGCCATTTATGTGTGCACCGCAATGTTATAACATTAGTAATTACCAACATTACGGTGTATATACAAATATACAACATAAGAAGTATACTATATCCTATACTGATTTTGTGGACGCCTACAAAATAAGCATAGGATACATTTTTATATATGCAGATACTTATTAGTCTTTTGATTTTGTTGAACAGCAGATAAAATTGTGTACCCCTGTTACTTACGTACTATTTATTAAGTCGTTTTCCTAATCCTTTTTACTCCAATAATATTTCTCTACCTGTTTTGGTATTTTGTATCATGAAGATTGTTATAAAACATCGAATACGGTGATGAGCGTATTTGTCAGACATCTTACCTGGCTGCGACTTCTGGGACTTTTGTCAAGGCTGCCGTCTTTATGGTCCCAACTTTTAGCTGCATATAAGAAAACTAACGACTAATATTTTTTTTGTCTTTTTTGTAATTTACGATATCTCCATATTTTATTGCAGTCGCGACATTCTGGTAATTCACACCATCCTTATGTGGTTACTTTCGTCTTTTTTTAATGAACCTGTGTCGTGTATGTTCATTAGCCGGTGGTTACATAAAATTTAAGAGCACCCTTAAGTTTTTGTTTACCTTAGTTTATTATCAATGCTTTTGTCTTTACACCTCATATTCCTGCCCCAGTTCTGAAGTTCTGAGATCGATGGGAATGAATCTACTATTTTCATTACTAATAATCCCATTGACCTCAGAACTGGTGTGCTATAGTAGATTCATTGCTGGCAATGGACAAAGGCTGATCAACCATAAAGCGATCCCCCTGGAATCTATCGTGGTTTATACCTGTTCATTCACGACACTGGCATGACTCCATGCTAATCCTGTAATTCTCTACCAGCACTTGCGTATTTCATTAGCGTAGGCTAGCGCAACATTCTTTTATAATCCATTAAAAAAAACAGGTCTGAATTGTGATCTTCTATGACATTATTTTTTCGATATCTGGATTAATGACGAGTATGAATAAAGAGAGTATAAATATTATATTTTGTATGTATATATAGTTGAATAAAAACATTACATCATCTTATTTTCAATTTTGTTAAACAAATACTAAATCAATTTTGCCAAAGCGCCATCTTGCGGGTAGTAGCGGAACGTACAAGTATTGTTCACGGAGAGCATTGGTTTATGCTTTGCTGTAAATATATTTTTATTCTACGAGATTTCATTTGGGAAGGTATAGAGGGTGATTTTTATATCTTTTACTTGAACATCCGTGAAATAAGGTTTTTTGAGTACATTTCAGTAACTGCCAGTAACTAAAATGACTTCATTAAATAATTTGAATAATAGCTAAAATAACGGCAAAATCCTAGAAACTTATAAAAATATTATAAGTTTCTAGGATTTTGTACATCTAGGTATATTTATAGTAGAAACGTAAGATTCATTGTTCTGAAAACGGCAATACCAAAAAAGAGCTTTGATACTAGTTATAAATAAGCCAGTAATTCCGGAAGAAATTATTATCATGTTATATCTACATTTACATTTTCGATAAACTAAAAGTTTTGTTGCGAAATATTTTCTTAAAAAGATTACAAATTAAAACTCTTAAGCATGAAGCATGCTTAAGAGTTTTAATTTGTTACTAATATTTAGGAAAAAGATAATATTATGTAATTATATTGAATACAAAAAGTCAATCTGCATAATGGATAAGGTTGCAAAAGCAAAAAATGTTATTCATTTTCTTGCAGTGTATCCATGTGCATTTATACCAGTTACAGATTTTACCACATCGCACACTTTTAATTGTATTTTTTTTAGTTCAGTATTGTTAGCACAATATGAACTAAAAAAATACAATTATCGGAAAATCCCATATGAAGTTGTAATTTATTTTTAAAAAATTTAGTTTTTTATATAATTCAATATTATACTTCAATAATATATAATTTTTTTCTGTAGCTTTAACTATTATTATATAAAGATTTTTTTTTTCTGCACTTTTCTATAAAATTATTATTTATTAACATGGTTATTTATCACGGTTATCATTATTATAAAACATTATCTCATGCGGGCGATAAAGTGACCCTTTCCCTGAAAATCTCGACGTTTTATCAGTCAGTAGTAGTAGTAAGTTGGGAAAAAAGTTTGATCTCTATAAAAATTGCATTCGATTCGTGCGATGCTGGGGTAGATCACTAGTTTCCCTATAATGAAAAGGAGCTATGATACATTGTATTCTTATCCTGTGACCACAAGTAGAACGCAAGTGTATACAGATCAATTAATAGGTATCGCGTAAGGCGGGGCCCCCATTGCCACTAAAATCAGGACTCCCAGAGTTACAGTTATTGCTCTTTTACAGCCCTTTCAAACTTTATTACGGTTCCAAATTCCACCACTGCGTGTGCCCAGACTGTGGCGTCGTGTTGCCTTGTTCTTAGGTAAATACTGTTACGTTATCGTAATTTAACAGTTCCGATGTTCAAAGTTGGCAAACAGTTTTCTTTGTAAACGGTTAGCTTTTGTATGTTTACAAATAATTACAAATATAGGTAACCTATGTAGGTAATATTTACATAGGTACCGTTTTCCTTTTTTTAATCTTTCAATAATAAAAGGATAGAATTATTTATATTGTTAACTTAGTCTTAAGTATAAGCACGGAAGTTTAAAAGCAACAATAGAATAGAAATATAGAGCTACATATACAAGTTAATTACAAATTGCCGTACTATTCCACAAGGATCGCCTTTTTATATATATCGATTTCTTATATATATTTTTACATTTGTGATAGACGCTTAACTACTAAATACTTATAATCTTATACTTAGTTTTCTATCATCAATTTTCAGAAATAAAAGTAAATATTCATCCACAACAGTTGCTATTGTCAGTATTCTTTGGCAAGATTCTGTTTTTAGAGTTAATTTAACTCTGTATTACACCCCTTGGTACGTACGTACTGATAGATTTAAGAGATAGAGTGTGGAAATTATACATTTCGCTTGTTTTTTTTAAATTCGTTGGCAAATATAATATAAATTACATTTTGACTGTGTGAAGTAAAAAGTACGTTGCCTCGGTCTATTTCGTATTTGAAAGTTAGTTCGTTATCCAAAGAAAAAAAAAAAATGAGTGTTCGCTCCAATCACAAAGATCATCCCATATTGCATTTCGTTGTTGCTTGTTGTACGCCACACCCCTTTTGGTCTGCATTGGAGTACAATCTTCATACATTTGTGGGTAATAAACTACATCGCCTTACATTCTTTTTAATAGAAAAAATTGCTATTCTTAAGTATTATTTCTAAAAATTCAATAGGACTTGACTGAATGGTACTGAGAATGGGTATAAAATGTTACAATAAGATAAGAAAGGGTATTCTTCTGTCAGCTTTTAATAAATTTAAAATATCTATTAAAATGCAATTGAATAAATTATATTCATATACATCATTTATAGCAGTTGTCTAGCACTCATAACATAAGCTCTGCTTACCGTGGGACGACGGCGCTGTGGTAATTGTCCACGGTTATTTATATACTTATTTATTTAGATATAGTGATTTAAGATAACGGTTTATATGTAATATGATAATATTAATCATTTCATACATTGTCCCATACTAGTATCAATATCATTCTAGTTATTGGTCGCTAGTTATTGTAAAATTGTTAAATACTCTCGTGTTCATAAATGTGTAAACGCATTGTGTGTAAATTTAGTTAAAATTATTGTTTACATAACACAGCTACAAGGTATAGTACGATATTAATATTGATGGTGACGTGATCCGCTTCGATATATGCCACTACACTAATCACATAGCCCGTCAGAGGCCAGAGAAATTGCATTAATCAATTGTCAAACTGCGCGCATATTGCCTAATATATCTCCAGTATTCTCTTGTTACATGTGGTACGGAGACATCGGATAGTCAGGGTTGGTACTTCGACTATATCATTCGTTGTCTTGATTACCAGTTGGGTAATAATAATAATAAAGAAATATTAGTAACTCATAAGTAAATAGAAGACTAATAAACTGTATCCTTTTGATCACGTCAGATATAGAAACTACTCAAACTAGTAGATAGCCATTTTTGCTTCAATGGTTAATTAATAATAAACATAATTTAATTTAATTATTTAAAGTTTTATACCGATGTGGTAAGCATAGTATG